CAACCCAACATCACCCAACCAACCCAATGACCAAACCCAACCCAACATCACCCAACCAACCCAATGACCACCCCAACCCCACCCCTCTCAACCCCCACCTTCCCCTTCTCCTCGTTCATCAGGAGCAGCTCCTGCTCTCCCAGCCACGACTCCACCTCGGCCACGTCGAAGTAGTACTGCTCCAGCTGGTAGGTGGCATCCAGGGTCTGCTGCCGGCGCTCCGTCTGCTCCTGCAGCTCGGCCCACATGGTCCCCAGGCGCTCCAGGAGGCACCGCACGCCCTCGGCCTCGGGGCTCTTGATGGTGGCCACGGCGGCGGCGCGTTCCAGCACCTCGTCCACGCGGGGCCGGTGCACCTGGATCTCCCGGCGCAGGTTCTGTGGGGTGGGGTGGGAGGTGGGGGTGGGTGCAGGGGTCAGGGTGGGGCGTCCCCCCTGCCCCAGTGGAGGTGTGGGAGCTGACCTGGTTCTTCTTGATGAACTGTTGGACGGTCTGCAGGTTGGTGCCGTGGTCCTTCAGCGTGGCCAAGGGCAGGCGGTCCTGGACCCACATCTGGGGGCGGGGGGTGGAGCTCGGTGTCATGGCTGTGGCCATCCCCGTTTCTGTGTTCACCTCCAGCTCACCCCATCTTCATCCCCATCCATCTTCATCCTCATCCATCTCCATCCTCATCCATCTTCATCCCCATCCATCTCCATCCTCATCCATCTCCATCCTCATCCATCTCCATCCTCATCCATCTTCATCCCCATCCATCTCCATCCTCATCCATCTTCATCCCCATCCATCTCCATCCTCATCCATCTCCATCCTCATCCATCTTCATCTCCATCCTCATCCATCTTCATCCTCATCCATCTTCATCCCCATCCATCTTCATCTCCATCCATCTTCATCCTCATCCATCTCCATTCTCATCCATCTCCATCCTCATCCATCTCCATCCATCTTCATCCTCATCCATCTTCATCCCCATCCATCTTCATCCATCTCCATCTCCATCCATCTCCATCCTCATCCATCTTCATCCTCATCCATCTCCATCCTCATCCTCATTCATCTCCATCTCCATCTCACCCTATTGCATCTCCATCCTCATCCATCTCCATTCTCATCCATCTTCCCCCTCATCCATCTCCATCCTCATCCTCATCCATCTCCATCTCATCTCCATCATTTCCATCTCCATCCTCATCCTTATCCTCGTCCGTCTCCATCTTCATCTCCACCACCACCCCCCATCCCCATCCCCATTCCCATCCTCATCCTCATCCTCATCCATCTCATCTCCATCATCCTCATCCATCTCCATCTCCATCATCCTCATCCATCTCCATCTCCATATCCTTCTCCATCTCCACTCCATGCCCATCTCCATCCCCATCCTCATCCGTCTCCATCTTCATCTCCACCACCACCCCCATCTCCATCTCCACCCCC